AAAAGGATTTTATTCTTTTATTAAATTCCGTTCTTACATACGATTAAATAGTTTCTATACTATCGTAATAAGGATTTTAAAAGTCGCTAGACATTAAATTCGTGAAAAGATCCATTAAGTTAAGTTTGAATTCTTTCATTAAAATTCTGAAACGTTTCTCTATTTCCCCCTTAAATGTCTTTTTATGCATTTTTAGTGAAATTATTATCAATCCAGACTGTCGCATGAAACGTAATAATAATATGGTTATAAAAAGTTTTGATCTTATAAAAGACACATTAATAAAGGGTGAAAAATATAAAGCTTTGAAATAAAGCTCTTAAATAATTTTTGATCAATAAGATGAGAAGATTCTAATACATTATGTTTCTTGCCATTTTTAATTATTCGTTTACATGTAATATAAGATATGTTGAATGAATTTTTACTATAGTTTTGTATGTAAGAAATGCTACAATTTGATTTGTATCCGTATAATGTTTCTTAATAGTTATCCGAAAAATGCTTTAGACGTCGCATAATGCTTTTGTACTTTCTTAAGTGCTTCATCGTTTATTTTAGTCTCCAATCTTTATTATGTCCCGTGATGTTGTATTAGTGAAATTCTTTTTAAAAATGCTTTCTTTTCAAACATAAATCATCATTCGTGCAAAAAAAAAAAAAAAAAAAAAAAAAAATTCTTTCTGTTTATTCTGACACTAAATTTAAAAAAAATCAACAATCATCAATTTATTTACAAAAAAGATATTTCTATTTTATGTGCATTCAGTAATCTTGAATTTCATTTACTAAAAAGATCGTTCAATAAAAAAAAAACTATTTGATCGTGTTAAAATTTTTTCTTCAAAAATCCTTAGAGCTTACTCGTAATACTAAACATTTGTTTCCGAATGAATTATTTCGACCTTATGCACGGCATAAAATAATAATTCTCAGCATTTGTTGCAAAATTAAAGAGTTCAACAGTATTTTTTTATATATTATGATCCTTTTAGAGACGATAAACATTTAATGGCGTGCGACATTACACTAACGCACCGGGTCGCTCCATAAATCATCAAATTTTCATGACCCAAGCTCGTCGTTTACGGAATTTAACTCGGTGAAATATTTTTTGGGGGTGCGTATATATTTATAACGTTGTAAAATGCGTATTATCGAGAACTTTTTTTAACATTGCATATTGCAGAGTTTTCATTTCATGATGATTCCTTATGTTTTGTAATGACTTGAATCAGCTTATCAAAACAATTTATTACAGGGAAAATTAACTTGAATATTTTTACAATTGTTCCGAGATTGGGATCACAGTCTCTTTTACAGTAAAGTTCAGCTCATCTCAAACATCCACCTTGTCTTGAGAATCACGTGAAGTCGACACCTTTTTTTCGGTAATAGGAGCCAAAGTCCTTCGGCTTCGCTGATCGACTCTAATCATGGGTGCAAACGCAGTGGGTTTCTCGCTGTATATCGCTAGAGAGGCCTCTGAACGGTTCTCCCCGCAAATTCTCACTTCGTGTATTTTAAAGCCTAGGATGCTCCTGGTTCTTCTTTTCGGCTCTGCTGTATTCCTTGTCCGTCGGCTTCTCAAAGCGTGGGAAACTTCCAACGCATAATGTGGACTGTCCTCCTCCAGATACACTGTCGTCCGGGATGCGTGAGAAACGGAAATTCCACACAGGCCGGGGAATATGTCCACTCTCGGATTCTAAGGAATGGTCGTGGGAACAGGGGTCAGAATTCTTGACCACCCATTGAGGCCACTTTTCCCCAGCAATTAGGGAAAGGATAGTGGGCACATCACAGTTTGCTTTAAATTATAATTCCAAAGACTAATCTTGTGAAAGAGTGTCACGTTGCATGATGGTAGTTTTAATAATTTTTATTTTCGTGATACAGTGTTTAAAAAGGTAAATCTGAATTGTGAAATGGCCGCATGAACATGGCCATGACATGTCATAATTTCCAACTTGGCCACTGAAGACACGCCTTGTTGAGGGTCTGATGCACAATCTTTTGTGGCTCAAAATCTTGACGTTGATATGGCGTGGTAGTTTGATGAGTGGATACCAGTTCACGTGTCGTCCTCTTCACTTGACCATGGCTCAAAATTAGGAGGTCCGTCGCCAATAACTCTTGTGTTGCTTTAGAGGGCGACGCCAGAAAACACTCGCATAAGTTGGAGAGTGAAGATATCCACTGAAAAAAAGCGAGTCAAAGTGGCTTTTCCCTGCTTGCTACATTGAAAAGTCCAAGAACCATCAGGATGACACCCTGGTGGTTATGTATTTACATTTCAATTTGAAATATAGTTCCATAAAACTCAAAGGGTTAGAAAAACCAATGGTTCACACACACACACCTTTTTGCCAATGACTGCAGACTCTGTACCAACGATATTAACACGGTAAAAAATCCATTGTAGATATATCTTACTGGACAAACTCACCCATGCAGAGGGGCCAATTCACGTTAAATCTGTCGGGGCGTAAAATCCTCCCGTTGGCGTGGATTTAGAGTTTTGAAGATTAGTCCAGCTCAGGTGTCTTCCTCATTACTTGACCGTAGTTCAAAATTATGAAATCCGGGGTGGATATGGTATAGTTGATTCTCTGTAAATAGAACTGAGGTCTCTCATGTATGTGTTATAGAATTTAAGCCAGTGTGGCGTTAATTTAAACGCAGTCTTCGCTCTTTGACCTTGGCTCAAATTTGAGATCTTTTACGTCAACAGCTCCTCAGTGTCATTACCCGGGAGAAGGCACACACTTGATACTAACGTTAGTGGTCACCCCAATCCTTTATTTATAATTATTTTTATTGTATACGAAAGAATCGTAATTCCAGTGAGTAAATTAAGAGAAAGTATACTTAAGTATTTTTAAGGACTTTTCAACTTTTCTTTGATAATTTGAGAAAAAAATCCTATTAATTTGAACTAAACTGTTTCAAATGTGCGTGACTTCAATAAAGGAAAAAAAATCACAGATACTTTTCGCTAACAGTATAGGAATGATATTTGCATGCTAAACTGTCATATTTAGTTAAAATTATTGTAGTTTTATTACCCAATGATGATCGACAAATAGCACGTTGAACTTTTTCTTGTTTGTATGTTTTCGTCAAGATGCAGTGTGTCCTGTGGCTTCATATCTTTCTTGATGGAGTTTTTAGGTAGCTTTTTAAAATTTGCCTTACAACTAAAACGTTTAATGTTAATCACTTTTTCTTAAATTTACATTCGTTATCATGATTAATATACATTTTTTCCCCATCGGGTTCTTCCCTTGCTTGATCAGTTTCAACTTCATCCAATACAGATCACGCAGATGCCCTTTTATTTCTTCAAATTGTATTATTTTACATTTATAAAACAAAATAAGTCGTACAACACAACAATCAAAACCACTAAGTCGTTCATAGGGGAGAAATGTAACGCCTGTTCATAGAAAATATTTTGGAACAAAAGTGATCGCGCCGGGAACTCAGTTGTAAAAAAAACGATTGCCAATTTCAAAAAAAAAATAGAGAAATACATTTTAGTTCCCATGAAGACTGTCATTTAGGAGGATACTGACAAGGGCATTGGTAACAAATAAACAGTTTTCTCAGAATAAAAGATTTCGTGAACCTGGGGTGACTCTCTCTCTGTGTGCTCCCTGCGACCTCTCAAGGGTTAATAGAAAAGCAAAACCTGTATTAAGATATTTATCGTCTTTTCAGCGCTGGCGTGGGTCGATCCGGAACCTTCATTGCGCTGGACCGAGTCATGCAGCACATCCAGAAGCACGATTACGTGGACATCTTCGGCATCGTCCACGAGATGAGGAAGGAAAGGGTGTGGATGGTTCAGAATGAGGTAAGAATCTTTGTTCCACTTTTATTTTCATATCACCATTTTTCATGTTCACGTTATTTTATGATTACTTGATTTTGCCACGTTGAATCTCGAACATTAGTTCGCTTCGATACTTATGTTTCATACCATCGACCAATTTCCCTTGCCTGATCGTGCATCGTGCTGTTTTTGTTGTTTCTAATGTCACCTGCCTGACGGTGTCGGATTGAGGCCCACGAAATTCATCATGGCAAAGGGCAATGCCGATTTAAGCTTATTTTGGGCCAGGTATTGGAGGATCGAAATTTATAACCAGAAAATTTGGTTTCCAACTTATCCGGGTCTCTGGGCTCAAGCGCACAATAGATAAACCGGCATTGGCAAAAAGCTAGATTATACACCTGACGTTAGCTGTAGCTTTGAGCGCCATACGGGTGACAGTGCAATTTGACTCGTTTCCACCCTAATTTTGAGAAGGGGGCCTCTGAGGCCTCCCACTTCTCTTTCCTTTCCGCCAATCGCATGAAAGGACTCGCGGCTCGACGGCTATTTTGAGTACTCCCGTGCCACTGTACATGTACAAACATCCATGCCTTCTCCTGGATTCGAATCAAGGCCTTGTGACACAGCAGTCAACGTCGCTAACCACTATACCGAATGGGCGACTTCGTGCCATGGTTTCGCGCGGAAACGGTTTTAAGCTTTTGCTAACGTATCGCGGTATTAGGCGACGTTTCATGATTTGACGAAATTGGTCAATGGTATAGAACGTATTCATCAAAGTTTATTTTGGTTCATTTGGACACAAATTGTCTCTGTTCACATATGATCACATGACACACATGATCACTGTTTTTAAGTAAACTGTTCATACTCTCACTGTAACCAGCTTTTGCTTTTTACAGGAATTTTTACTTTAAAAAGCATATTTTTTAACATTATTGACACGACATGCATTATTTTAAAAGAAATTGGTTTTAAAGAAACAATCTTAAGAACATTTTTCTGTTACTACATCATTACTTGATTATTAAATTTAAAATTGTGAATTTAAGAGTGCACACCACAAGAAATACTTATAAACATATACCCTTAAAAGGAAAACATATGATTTGTCGAGGGAACATCACGAATGGTCTCATTTCTTGTGTGCGTGCCCGTGGTAGCCGAGTGGTAATGGCAACGAGCTCAAGGCTGGCGTTGTCGAGTCACGGGTTCGAGTCCCGTTGCCGTTGAAGACCCCCCTTGTAGTGGAGCTGGTGCACTTAAATGGAGGCTTAAAGTCCTTCCTTTAGCGTGGTGTGGACGTTTGAAGAGGGGGTGCCAGCTCAGTTGTCTTCCCCGTCATTTACCTGAGGTTCAAATGATAAGGTCCGTTGCCAATAGCTTTCGTGTTGCTTCACATCTCAACGTAAATCAAATCTATTCATGTGTTTTCAAAATTACATGATAGATCAAATCACGTATTTACAGTCAATCTGTTCATGCACCTTAATACTGCCAGTTTTTAACTTTTTATAAAAACCTGCAGAAAAAAAATTATAATTTATAAATAATAACTCAGACACAAGTAAAATAATGCACTTAATTTAAAAGCATTAATTTTTGTGAGCAAAAAATGCCGAATCAGGTGTCGTCCGCGTCACTTGACTATAATTCAAAAATATGGAGTCCATAAACAACAGTTCTTGTGTTGCTTTACTTCGAAATTCAATTTCAATAAACAACCAATTAATCTTATAGCTATTCCTAATAAATATTTTTAATCATGCACTTATCGTTTATACCCACATCTGAAAATCTCTATATAAAAAGAATTATCAGTGGTAATATTATTAAAATCTCATTTGTTGAACGAAAATGTTCTATTAATATGTGTACAGCCATCAGCATTTATATCTTCAGTGTTATTAAAATTATGGACTAGAACCAAATTAGTCCCTTGGACTCCATCATACTGCATACAATATTGAAAAATATTGAGTTCTTATGAATCCATTGTACTACAATGACAACATCCATTTACAATGTTTGTATGTACAAATTCATGTTCATATTCTAGAGAAATCCAGCACACATTATTTAATTCATTGCAAACAAGCTTTTAAACTTGATAACGCATGCCGTTGATCCAGCTCAAAAATTCCACCTGTGCTACCTTACATTCACTTTGTGATAATTAACCGAATGTTTGTCCGCATTTCCCTTCCCAGACAGAGCAGCTCTCGGTTTTCCTCCGTTAACTGAACTGATTACCATAGATTTCCAGTGAAAAATCTCTAATTTCAAACATAATGGATGTAATTTATTTCGCTGCTTGTTACTCTATATGTACTCGTATTATTATCCCGAAGCGTTGTTCGTAAATCACTGACATTGCCACCAAACTCGATTATATCGGGGGGGGGGGGAATTACCGAATAACGAAAAGGATGATTAAAACACTTGATTAAAATGTAAACTAATCTTTTCTCTTTCGAAGTAGCGGAGTGAAGTAACCACATTTCATAATTCCCGCATTTTTAATAGAAAGTCAGAATCTGTATTGACTATCATAAATTCGATCGTCTTGCCGTAAGCTTATTAATATTCGACGCTTGTAACAAAACAAGCCTGAAGCGTCAAATAATCGTTTGTGAAAAATTTCGTAAAAGTACCCGAGTAAATCCTAGTAGTGCAGTAATATCAGTTTACAAAATACCCCTAACGACTTTGGTTGCCATATCCCGTGTTAAAAATGGCTATATAATCAATGATGGGCTGTTACCTGTGGAGTAATTTTCTTTCTTGAAAAAGAGATTAACGAGTTTGAAACATGTTATGCAACATATTTTCATGACTCAATTACAAATTAATACTTCTACGGATGATATCAAAAAGGTGAAACTGCTGCCAGAAAATAGTTTTATCTTTACAATAATTCCTGTTCAGTTTTTGAAAATAGTTTTTACATTTAATGTGAAAATATTCGTCAGAGTCGTTATTGAAAACGGATTCGAAATTACTATAATATAGTATTCTTTTATAAAAAAAAATTTAATTTCCAGAGTAATTTTTCAAAAGTGAATTGTTGAAATGAATTAAATAGCTTTTAAAAACTATTTATTCTATTTAATTTTAGTGTTGTTGACCCAACTTTAATTCGTTTTTTCCCCCTTAGAGACGCTTTAATTTATAATTAAAAAAATAATTCATATTTAGCGAATATTAACTTTTAGCTTTTGGCAACAGAAAATTTGTTAGAATAAAAGGAATTAAGAATGTGTTGTAAACAAAATATATTGTTTCGTATCGATTCTGAAGTAATGTCACACGTTTACTACAAAATATTAAAATTAGTTTTAGCTTAAGGTTATTAAAAAAATAAATTCAGTTTATTTTAAGAAAAGTTTCCTTTTCGTACTTTATATATAACAGTGGGATTATTTTAAATTCATATTGCATTTTGCTTATGAATGAAATCTCTCTATTTTAGGCTAATCTAAACTAAAAAAATTATTTTAGAAGAATTTAATGTACATAATATAAAAACATGTTTAGCAAGATATAAAATTATCTTTTTAGTCAGATAAATTTTAACTTTTCAATCCTTTAATTTCTATAATTGCATAATATTTATTTTTTTATTCGAAAACGTATTAAAAAGAATTTTGTTTATTGAGCTCGGTGAAACATGAATGTATAATGAAAATTATGCTACTGAAATTTATGGATCATAATATCTGCTTTATGGATATTTTTAAATGTATGAAATATGGCATGACGATAAAAGTAATAATTAATATTGTCAAGTAGTTATGTAAAAAAATAAATTACTCTTATTAAAATAGTAGACAGTTGCATAGTTAAAAAAAACCCAAAATATAGAAGGGTAAAATACATTGAATCTGTCGAGGCTCCAAATCCTTACTTTGGCGGGTATGGAAGTTTAAAGAGCAAGGTGCTATCTCGGGTATCGTCCTCATCACTGGACTTTGGGTCAAAATTAAGATAGCCCTAACGAAGCTTTGAAATGTAAAATTAATAATTTATCAAACCACAGTCATAATATCTGTTCAGATTTGCACCAGTTGATTATTTTGAGATCTTATTCCTTGTGAATCTAACTTAACTAATCAAGAACTTAACATGTAGGAGAACGTACACGAAAAAAAAAATACTCATAGCAAAACGATTTCAATTCTTCCATTTGAATCGAAATTTTTGTTTTCTTTCAGCAACAATACATCTGCATTCATCAGTGCCTGCTGTGTGTGTTGGAAAAGAAAGAGGACGTCCTCGAACTCGGACGATCGGAAGCGCACGACAATCAGGGATACGATGGTAAGGCAGCAAGTAAACAATTAGAAATAACTAGCTGACTCATTCAGCTCAAAAGATTTTTGAAGTGCCAGTTTTTCATTTGTATATAAGCAATCATCCATCGGCGTCCATTCACTACATTGTCAAATCAGGCCATATATTTGTAGTGACAATTTTTAGTCATTTTATTTTGCATTAATGTAATTATTACAATAAAAATAAAATCAAAAATTGAAACAAACAGTGATATCATATGTATTATCAAACATATTAATGATATACCAGGAAGATATTGTATTAAAATTGTTGAAAATCGAGCGTTGTTTGAAAAATTGTAAATTCCCAGGTATTTAAAAATTCAATTAAAATCATGCATTTTTATTAAACTGCAATCCAGTTTTCATATCAAAATAGATCTTTTTAATTCCGCTTTTAATGAGACAAAGTAATGTATGTTACTGTTCAAATCGAAAATTTATCATACAATCCTTGAATTAAAATATCAACGAATTCGTTTTCCATCAGAATTTCAGATAAGGCGAGATCTCTTTTTACGGTACAAATTAATTTTTATTAATAAAGTTCTTCAATTTTGTATTAATTCGTTGCTCAAAATATTCAGGGGTTAGATAATATGTGATTGTTAAAAAAAACATTCTATAGCTACAGTTGGCTTTTACGTAATGTATCAAAACCTTATCTAATTTTAACACAGTTTGGTCTTAGATGACTTCATAAACACAACTTTATTCTCATGTAATAAAGTTTCTTAAAAATTTTTTCCCCTTAGTTAAATATTTTTAAAGATCTAAAAACATTTTAATTATTTATCAAAATATTTTATTAGCCTACACATAAAAGTATTTTAATAACCTTTTCTGAAATAATAACCAAATTGGATTAAAATGAAGTATATTATGCATTTGTGGCAAGTTTTTAAATAAATCGACATATTGCCATAAGGGTTATTAAAAGAATTTTATATTACAATTAACAAAATAAAGTGTTTGCTAGAGTGTAATAATTATCTAACTAAAAAAAAAATCGCCAAATTTGGCTTGCAACCTATACTTTATTTTAACAAATATTATTTTGAATAGCAATACACAGACATCAATAACCTTGTTTAAAATTGCAGCGAACAAATCCACTTGGAGAAAACTTCTTGATATTGCTTGGGGAAGAAAATATCTTTTCTCTTCATTTTCTTAAACACTGTTTTGCTTCATTAAAAATACTTCTGCGGGGGTGTATTGACTTTTAGTTTTGATTGAGCATATTTCTCTCTATCCCTTGCCTGTGTGGTCTTACTTGAAGGATCGCTTCCATCTTCAGCTAAACTTTCTGCCATTTTGTCGAACGGTGACGTCGGGAACAAAGCGTAAGAAGATACCCCAAATACTGTACCTGATATTCATTGAGCTCATTCTGAAGAAACGTGTTCTGGTAAATATGTCCTGGCATTGCTCCTCTTTCACTCGCATGCTGTGCTGCATAATTTGCCTCTCCTCCCCTTTTTGATTATGTAATCACTTTATACATTAACTGAAGCATGCGTGACAAGAGAATGATTAATTGGAGAAGAATTTCAAAATCAAAGATTGTTACTTCTGCAAAAAAAAAAAAAAAAAAAAAAAAAAAAAAAAAAAAACATTAAAGGGACATAGTACGATTTACAACAACAAAATCTTTAAATTAAATATTTTCACAATTTTTTTGGTTTTCTCCTACGTATACGTATTATGTAACACAATTTCTTTGCTATAAATACCACAAAACGCTAACAATTTAGTTTTTCAAGAAAAACTTAGATTTATGAAGGGACTTTAAAATCGACAGCTTCCATATCGTATGATTATGCTGCATGTTGAAAATTCTATAGTACCTGTTTGGCTTGGGTGCTCGTGGCGAAATTAAAATTCCTTGCACA